CATCTCTACTTGAAAAATATGCAAGTTATAATTTGTCACACATCAAAAAATATGTACTTAATATTAACGATACCTCAAATGTCTGCTTTAACCAAAATGTGATTCAGTTAAGACAGACTGAATGTGAACACTAGAGATAAGCACTGCAACTTCATCAGGAAAATCTCTATAGTCCAGTGCTAATGTTTTCAATGGTTGCTATGTTATACTGCCTTTGTGTTACTGGGCAACAACTAAGCAGCTCACTAAGAAACCTGTGAATCAAACCAAGAACTTATAAAAGTACTGAGACACAACTTCACTTTCTTATACCTTTACCTGTTACAAACATCAGATACAAAATTAATAGCAAGACTATAAAAATTACCTAGAATTTATCTAAAGACATACTTTGAGGGAGATTGGCGCTTTCCAAAAGGGCACGGCTAGCTTTAGGTTCCTAACTCTATGAATTTTAATCCAAAAGCAGTTTCAAGTTACAATATACAGAAAGCAAATAATTGGGCACTTCCTGACTTTCTTAATTTGTCTTCCAAAATTATATCTGTTAAACTAAAAGAATAGTGCTAGAATACAGTCTGTGATCTCTCTATGACTCAGAGGCAGTTCTGATGGAAAAAGATAAAACTGAAAAGAATTGCTAATTACCAGGACCAAATGAAAGTATTGACAGAATTTCATAAATTAAGTCCTGACCAGGTAAAAAGTAAAATAGAAAGAAGAAAAATAGGAGGATAGATGAAAGAAGGGGGAGAGGAGGAGAGAGGTAGAAGGTAGCTCCCGAGGAAGTACTTTTAAAACCGATTCTACTAAAGAGGAACGAAGAAATTGACCAAACTCCCCAAGCCCATTTGGGAATAGTGTCAGGTTTCCCGAGGGAGTCCTTACTACCGATATTGTCATGGGAAATTCTCAAATATTCACACTTTCTAGGAACAGAATCTTTTCTTTCTGATTCCAGTGAATTTCCTCTTTAATCCCCTTTCTTAAAGTTTAGCTGCCCTTCCTCTCTCAGTTACTCCCTCAAAGATTTTTTTTTAACTTCCACAGCACAATGGGAGAGGCAAAAAAATAAAAGTAGAAATGTACATTCCTCATTTCTAAGAAACATTTATTCAGGAACTTCTATTTAGAAGAAACTAAGGATACAGCTCATTGAGATCTGGTGTCCTGCCCTTAAGGAGCTTGCAATCTAGTTAGGAAGATAAGGCATACATAGAAATGATAAAAAACAATACAATATAAAGTATAAGCATCAAGTAAATATGGCTGACAAATACTATAGAATGTGAGAGGTGAAGGAGGTTGGAACACGTCACCCCAAAATATGCCACGTCAGTATACTGACTGAGTTAAAAGCACTTGAGAAACAGGAGAAACAGCAGGTTCAAGAGGGACACTGACACTTTTTTCTTCCTGAAAGGAGATAAAACTCCCATGTGAAAGGTACTCTCCCTATAAGGAGGAAGACATTCTTATCACCAGAGATGGGGAATCAAAGCCCAGAAACCTGCGCAAACAAATCTTGTTAAATTAATCCTTATCTTCCTATTCACTTCTCCACAACTCACTAATCCTAACCCAAACCCCTTTTGTCATTTCTTCACAAATTTATTGTTTGTCTGAAAGGTATAAGAAGAGCTTTCTGCTCTGGTCACTTTTTCAGGTCTTCATTCTCCTGTGCAGGTCCCCATGTACAAGTAAAAATTGTTTTTTAACTTGATTGCTTTTCTCCTGTTAATCTGTCTTATATCAATTTAATTCTTAGGCCCAGCCAGAGACCCTAAGAGGTTAGAGAATTCTTCCTCCCCTTTAGAGTTAGTTTATGGTGGAGTTGAACTTTACAGAAAAGGCACAATTTAGATTTTAGGGAAAAAAGGAAAAAATCAGGTCAGGTAGGTAGAATGACATAAAGACCGGTAAAGAAAGGAAAAAGCATATAGTAGGTTTAGAGGTTAGTGACGAAACCAGTGTGCTCAGAGTACAGCTTTTCTATAAAGAACATGAATAACCTTGAAAATGCAGAGTGCAAGGAAGGTTTCAAAGAGTTCAGATTAAGAAATGTGAACTTCAGTCAGTAGGATGGAGGAATACTTCTGGAAATGTTTTTACATAGATACACACATTCCCTAAAAGTACACACAGATTAGACAATTTGAGAAAATTACCTACTGAACCTAATACATTATGTATGACAAAGTTAAAATAAAACTCATTTATTTTTCAGGCAGAGACAGCACCTATAAAACACACACAAAAGAATTCTGACAACTCACTAATCTTTCTGCTACAATTTCATTATTCTAAGCTTCTTGAATTAGAACTTCAGATGACAAAATGCTGATATGTGATTTCTAAGGATTTTACAACACGAGTCATTCCTGATTTTTCTTCTTCTCTGCTTGTCTTGCCCAATTCGAATATTTCATTACTTCAGAATCAGCATATGGGAAAAAAGGGATTTGGGACCAAAAATGAAGTCTACGGGTTTTTGCAATACAGTAAGGGCAAGATGCAAAGAACATTAAATTTCAATTTCCAAGTCCCATTACTAACAGCTTGATTTCAAAGAAGTCATTCAGTCTCAGAATCTCAAATGTTCTCACCAATTTTCTCACATATTGAAAGATTACTGCATTCAAAATAGCATGATAAATGCTCTGAAAACTAATTAATTGCCATACAATCATTAAGGCTTAAAAAATCACCAGTGGACAATCTCCCAATGCTCTATATAATCCTGGATTGGTATTACTCCATTATTTGAGAAAATTCCTGAATATGGCCTGCACACTTATCTGGTTACAAAAGAAAATACTGAAAGGAAGGGGACTATCTAACGTACTCTGCCCTAAATAACCAAAGGATAACTCAAATTCCCTTGCAACTCTCTGGAGTCTTGTATAATACTGATATTTAAAGCATTCTAGTAATTCTAAACAAAATGAGTTTGAAATAAAACTTCAATGCAAAAAGTGAGTATTAACTATAACCACCTACAGGCTAAACCCATGAATTTAGAGAATTCTGAATCCAGATCATTGTAGGATACATTTAGTTATATTCTAGTTGAATATTAGACTTGTTTACTAAGATGTTGCTAGGTAACAGAAGCAATGCTTTAACTACTCACATAGTTTTAGATCTACTCAAGCATTTTGTGCTCATAGTCTGAACACATTACGAAGTATATCCTATATAAGAAATTATGAACAAGTTTCTTATCCTAGACTTGAGATTTTACTGATATCATCACTACAACTAAAGTGACCAAAGGCTTTAAAAATACTTGCCAGTGGGCATTTTTAAGGGCTAAGTGCCTATTTATAATGGTCAAAAGCTCTAGACGTTATCTCTGTAATGACAGTCAATATCACTGCTAAAATTGTCCTCGGGGTCAAGGAAATGGTAGCATAGCTTTTTCATCACAAATTAGACGAGAGGTACCACACGTTTAGACAGTTACTAACCTGTCTACACAAGCACCGCGCATCAAAAAGCTCCCTAAAGAGTTTCACGTGCATTTCACTGGCTACAGAACAGGTCTCAAAGTCTACTTTTCTAACACCCGTTCCAATTACAAGACAAAATTACTCAAGGGCAAGTTAACAAAAATAAAAAAATGAGTATTCCAAAATACGGACAAGATAGAGTCTCCATTAAGAGGGTACGTACCAGACTCACACACGGCCTTGCAACGTGAGGACTTAAAACTTAACAGTGACCGGTGTTCTGGCCGCACTTGCCACCCGGGAGACACCTCCACAGCTCCAACCACCGGCACCCAATCAGCTCCTCTCGCAGGGTCATTGGGGTGAAGAGATCCAGTCCCACACGCGGGGTGCTGGCCCAGCCCGCCACGCCTGGCGAGGTCCCCGCGGTCGCTCGCGGCGCAGGCTGAAGAGGAGCAGGGCTCACGAGCTCGGGGAAATACGAGGGATCCCGGGAGAGCTCCGAGGGCGGAGAGGGCAGCGGCAGCAGCGGAGAAATGCCCCGCTGCTGCTTGGTAAACGGGCCTTCACTGGGGTGCGGGGCCAGCTCCACGCCGAGAACTGGTTGAAAGGCCCCCCCCAGCCACCCCCCCCCCCTTACCCCTCAAACCCTGGAAGCGCCTCGGTCCCGAGATCTAAAGACGCGCGAGGCCGGAAGTCCCGCCCACGATGACGTAACCGGCGCCGCAGCCGGAGGCCGTTAGAGGGAGGAGCGAGCGGGCCCTCGCGGGAGACGCTGCGCACAACGGCCCGAATGCTGGGGCCGGGGCAACGCCCGCAGAGGACGCTTGGGGGATGCAGAGGTCCGCTGAGCTACAGGGAACGGAAAGTGTGGGACAGGCTACTGGCTTCAAGGAGCCAAGTGACGCGCGTGGTTGAACGGAAAGCCGAGCTCCCTCCGAGCTCTCGCTTCCTCCCAACGCAACTGCTCTGGGGACTTTGTGCGTTTCTCTGTCGCTCTGCCTGCTTTTCCCACACTTTCTTTGAGGGCTCTGATGTGGTCCTGCCGCCCCTCAAGTCCCCCGCCTGCGTGCCCAACCGCGCAGATTTAATGAGTCCCGAAGTCTCCTGCCTACCACCTCCGCTGTGGGGCGTTAGCCCGGGAGTGGGGAGTCGGCTCAGCTTGCCACCAGGAAACGGCCAGGTCAGGACCAGGCCCCGCCCCCGCGCCTCCAACTCCAAATCTCATCCCTAGTTGCTTCAATTTCGCGGTAACTGAGGGTAACTGAACTGTTTTTCTTCAGGTTGTAAACTAGAGAAGGAAGAAAAGGGATTAGCCTTTAAGAACGTCAGTTATTTGCCAAGGGCTGAAATAGGTAGGGTTTCAGCCTTTCAGAATAGGTGTAGAAGAAATAGGCACCTTCCCCTCCCCAGTGTTTGTTCAGTGCGTTGGTTTGGGTTTTGATTCTCACTACATTGTGAAGCATACTTGTTTTACCCCCAAGGTTAACATTTTGGGGCTCTAGTTATGATTCGAAAGGCAAGTGAGATATGACCTTAGTTAAAATGAGCAAAGAAGAGCTATTAGTTGGGACAATGGGTTGGGTAATATGGAGTGTTATGTTACCCAGATATATCAGTGAACCTACTATAGAATCCAGAAATAAACAGCTGTGTATATATGGGTGCTTAGTAACAGCAGCTCACGTTTGCTGAGCACTTATGTGTCAAGTACTGGAGCGCTTTTTAAGGTGGTCTTATTTAACCCTCTATAAGACACATGCAATTATCTCGATTTTATTGCGTTACCCAGAGCCATTACTGGTAAGTGTGGGAGACAAGACAGTCTGACTCCAGAAGTCTCAGTGGTGATCAGTAAACTACATATTACAAATCATTCATCAGTAGGAAAAAGATAGTCTGAGAAATGTCTAAGGATTAGAGACAGGCTTTACATCTATATCGTTTTTCAAATACCAGATGGATCAAGAATTTAAATGTAAAGAATGAAACCATAAAAATAGGAGAAAATGGAGGTGAATATCTTTATAATCTTAAGCTGAGAAAGGCATTTTCTAAGTATGAAACAAACCAGAGATCATAAAAGAAAAAAAATTGGTACAAGTTAACCACAGAAAGATTGTAATCTTCACATAACCAGTGGGAAATAAATGTGTAGCAAGTGGAAAAAGAAGGAAAAATGTTCATAATATACAGAGAGCTCATAGAATATCAATTTTAGAACTTAACACCACAATAAATAAAATTGGTAAAGTCTATCAATAGTACATTTCTAAAACAAGAAAAACAAACACCTAATTAAAAAATGGAAAGATGTTAATCTTCCAAAAAGATCCCTTTTGTCTATCAGTGTAGATAAGGATATGGTGATACAATTACTGTTGTACACTATTGTTGTGAAGTTGAAATTAGTATAACCTTAATTACCAAAATTTAACATAAGCATTAACCTTTGCCCCAACAATCTCATTTCCTAGTCATTTATTGTAAGGAAAATAGCAAAAAGAAAACAAGATTCATAAGGATGTTCTTCACTCCTTTTTTTATAAGTGCCATCACTAAGACATTAGTTAAATGTTGGAGTATGTATACAATGGAATACCCTTCAGCCATTAAATATAACATTAATCTCTTTATACTTGAAAATGTGTCCATAGCAGATAGATTGTCCCCCCATCACACAGATCAGCATGAACACTCATACCAGCATGAGTATGTATGTGTATATCTGTGAAGTAAGTGTACGAAAACATCTGGAAGGATGTTGGCCAAAATGCAAGTGACTTTCTTTTTCACTTTTCTATCTTGTTTGAAATTTTTTATAATAAATATATCATTGTGTTTTATTTTTTAATTAAAGATATGCCAGTGAAGGGGGGAGACAATTGACTACACACCCTCACAAATAGATACTCAATGTGAAGTGATCTGTGATCTAAGTCTCAGCTTTTAAAGTGTCTATAAATCTGATTATATTAATTTACCTAGAGTTGAACAATCTAACTCATCACTTGGACATCATGATTCTGATTCCCAAAATTGGACTCAGTATCCTTTCTATGTGTTCTCTGTGTTCCTCTCATGGTATTTGTTACATTGAACTGTAATTCCCTTTTTCTGTCACTGTTTGCACCTACCATGTATGTGTCTACACATACACATTATTTTCTGTCATATATTATGTATTTATTTTCCTCTGTCATCTATTTTTTTGTGCAAAATGTTAATGTAGTCAAAATGGTAATAGAATTAAATGTCAAAGGGATAGTTTCAGCAACTTCATGCCAGTAAATTCAGCAGCTGAAGTGATGGACGAATTCCTGAAAAACTAATATATATAAAAAAAAAAAAAAATGAGCCAATAAATCTAAATGGCCTAATAGCTATTAAAGAAATTGAATATGTCATCAAAAACTTTCCTACAAAGAAACTGTCAGGCCCAGTTGCAGGGTACAAGATCAATAAAAATCTGTTACATTTCTATACACTAATAAACTACCAGAAAGAGAAACTGAGAAAACAATATTATTTGCAATTACATCAAAAGGAATAAAATACCCAGGAATAAATTTAACCAAGGAGGTGAAAGACTTGTGCACTGAAAATTGTAAGACATTGATGAGGGAGATTAAAAAATAGACGAATGGAAAGATTTTCCAAGCTCATGGATTGGAAGAATTAATATTGTTAAAATATCCATACTACCCAAAGCAAGGGTCAGCTGTGTGCATGTCTGTGGTAGTTACACAGGTATATACAGTTGCTAAATTCATCTAAATGTACGTCTGAGAGGAACAAAGTTAGAGGACTGACACTGACTTCAAGACATACTATAAAGCTATCGTAATCAAGAAAGTGTAATATAGGTAAAATAGACAAATAGTTCAATGGAACAGGATAGAGAGTCCAGAAATAGACACCTATAAATATAGTCACCTGCTCTTTGACAAAGGAGAAAAAGCAATACAATGGAACAAAGATCACTTCAACAAATGATGCTAGAACAACTGGACATCCATATGCTAAAACATTAGTCTTGACACAGACCTTATACCCTTCATAAAAATTAAAACGAATCATACACCTAAATGTAAAGGGCAAAAACTGTAAAACTCCTAGAAGATAACATAGGAGAAAACCTAGAAAACTAGATATGTTGATGCCTTTTTAGATACAACACCAAATATAGCATCCATGAAAGAAAGAATTTTGGTTGGTAAGTTGAATTTCATTAAAATTAAAAATTGTGCTCTGAGAATGAGATAACAGGCCACAGAGTGGAAGAAAATATTTGCAAAAGATGCATCTAATAAATGACTTATCTAAGATATACAAAGAACTCTTAAAAACAATAAGAAAATAATTTAATTAAAAAATGAGTTGAAGATTTTAACAGATACCTCACCAAAGAAGATATACAGATGGTAAAAGACCATATGAAAAGATACTCCACATCATAAGCCATCAGATAAATGAAAATTAAGCTGATAGTGAGATACTACTATATTGAATGGCCAAAATTTAGAACACTGCAACACCAAATGCTCACAAGGATGTGGAGCAACTCTCATTCATTGCTGGTGGGAACACAAAATGGTAGAGCCTCTTTGAAAGACGGTTTTGTAGTTTCTTACAAAACTATATATACTTTTACCATATAATTCAACAATTTCAATCCTTGATATTTACCCAAATTAGTGGAAAACTGATGTCCACATAAAAACCTGTCCACAGATGTTTCTAGCAGCTTTATTCATAATTGCCAAAATTGGAAGCAACCAAGGTACTCTTCAGCAGTTGAGTTGATAAACTGTATAATACAAATAATGAAATAGTATACAGCAATGAGAAGAAATGAACTATCAAGCCATGAAAAGACATGGAGGAACCTTAAATGTGTATTTACTAAGTGAAAGGAGCCAATCTGAAAAGGCAAAACTATGGGGACAACAAAAAGATCAGCGGTTGCCAAGTTGGGTGTGGTATGGGGGCTGCTGAGAGGTGAAAAGGCAGAGCATAGAAGATTTTTTAGGGCAGTTAAAATATTCTGTATGATATATGATGGATGTATGTCATTATGCATTTGTCTAAACCTATGGTGAATTTATAACACCAAAAGTGAACCCCAGGGTAAACTATGGATTTCAGAGGGTTATGATATGCCAATATCAGTTCATCATAGGTAAAAAAAAATGTACTATTCTGGTGAATAATGTTGATAATGGGGGATGATATGCATGTGTGGAGCACGGGGTATATGGGAAATCCCCATACCTTCATCTCAGTTTTGTTATAAACCTAAAACTACTCTGAAAAATAAAGTTTGTTTTTTTTTTTAATGAACTTCTAAGATGTGGACACTTTATTCTATGTTAATTATACCAAAATATAAAATACATTTAAAAATGCTAAGATAATGCCTTTCTATTAACTGAAATATCAATGTCTGCTAGCAAGGTCACTTCCTTTTTGATACGAAGATACTTGAAAAATCAAACTCATAATCAGAAAGTTGCCAGGAATACCCATACTCTGAACAAAGGAAAATAAATAGTCCAGAGAGAGAAATTAAACTGCAGAGAAGCTTGAGAAGCCATCAAACAACAACAAATGGGTTTGTCTACTATGTCAGATAAAGAAGTAATTACTGTAAAACTAAAGGTTTTGATATTGTGGAGCTAACAGTTTACATTACAAGTTAGTGAAATAATGGGGTCCTTAGGAACCTAATAGGAAATTGTTTTACAGGTTTAAATTTTAAATGAGAAAGGACATTTGGAGTACTTGAGCAAGAAAAGAATGCTGTAGGATATGGGAGTTCTAAAAAACAGGCATTCCAATGTTGCTTTTCACATTCAATACTTTGTTACTAGAGCCAGAGATAATGTAAGAGAAATAAGTGTGTGTTTCAGAATGTCAAGGAAAAAAGTTATATGTCATATGACTCAGTGGTAGACAAAACTATTTTTGTCTTCTTAAAATTTCACATACTTTCTTTTTTTCTCACCTCTCCTCTTTTCCTGTTTCATCATTTTATTTTTTTCCTTCTTAATCTCTTTCTTTTATCCTCTTCATTTTTTTTCTTTTTCCTCCAGTAGATCAGCTTTCTCAGCCTTAGTTTCCTGACTGACCTCTTAAGAAGCCATTTTAGGCACTTTTTTTCATAATTGCTCCCCCTATCTCCTATGAGAACTTAACCACAGATACCCTTTATGTCTGTTTATGTATTGTGGCTCTTTGGAGAGCCACAAACCATTGTAATATCAAAGGCTTTTTCCCCCTTGAGAATGCATGCTCCAGATTTTAAGCTCTTTGAGGAGAAAGATCATGTTAAATATACTCTATGCTTAATGTTAGGACATAGTAGGCAATCGATAAATACATTAGGTGAATATCTATTGAACTAAAAGTGAAAAATGATCTCTGCTACAAACTTATTGGTAAAACTAAACTAAAATTCTTGGATCTTTTTTAGACAATGCAACCTACTACTGATTATTCCACAGTACTGCCACATTCCAAGAATGTCTTCCTGAGACTATATTCTTATGACCTGATGGAAATTTAGAAATTAATCACAAAAGCAATACATTTGCAGCTGATTCCAAAGGTAGGTTACTTATATAGGTAGCTAATTTCATCTCTCATAACTGATATTTTTTGTCCCTAGCTTCAGTTTCAGATGATAATTTCCTAAATTTTTCTCTAAATTCTGAGGCTATACAGTCTCTTTAGTACTTAATTCTCTCTTCAAGTTTATCAATTTCTGTTAAGGTACAAGAATTACATTAGAGATGAAAAGAAGGTGAAGGCACTGTTGAAGAGGGAGAAAAGAAATGGAGAAAATCATTAAACTTTTCTCTTACTTTTTTTAGGTGTAGAAGCATTTTAGCAATCTAGGGAGATGTCCTTAGTTGCCTTCAGATTGGTGAGGACAGTACTACCAGCATTTGTAGATAAGGCCAGGGATACTCAGCATCCTACAATGCATAGGATTTTGGTCAGTTCAGGCTCGTGGTAAAGCAGACACCAAAACAGAATTAGAAGTGCAAGAAATTTATTGGGAGAAATAGCTATTGAGAATAAAGCAGAGTGGGAGCATAGACTAGGAGTGCCTTCAGACTGATCCAGCTCTGCTATCCATGAAAGGAGAGAGAGAAGGAAGCAAAGTGAGAGCCTCAGGCTACCATACAGCTTTGAGAAGGTCTTGGCTCCGCCAGTGAAGAGCCTCAAAGCAAAGTCTGACCATTTGAGGGGGTCCCAATTTGGGCAGGCATGGCCTGACTCTAGTACTGTTCTGTACTTAGCCATTGGTGGGGAGCAATTCTGGGAGGGTAAGGCTGTAGCATAAATGCTGTGGTGGATTCTCAAAGTTGGCACTAGAAGACTGTCAGCTAACTACAATCCTCACAGCAGGTGTTTTTTCTCCCTCTCCCTGAAAACAAAAATGACACTTTACTCAAAAACTTTTGCCTGTAAAGCAAGAGAACAAGATGATATAAACAAGAAATCTTCTACGACCTGCCAAAGTAACTATTTTGATGCTTTTTTTTTTTTTTTTTTTTTTACCAGGTTAAGTTGGATACAGAATAAGTTTTAGGAAATAAGGCTTGAGAGTTGCAATCCAACATGGAAAATAAGATGAATCAACTTCCCAGGCTGCATGAGTATTCACATTTCTGAGTTGCAACAGGTTTGTTTCTTCTTTTGACCTCAAAAACTATTTTGGAACTTTGAGGAATCTTCACGGCCTCTTAAGTTTTGCTTATAGTCCTCAAAGAGGGATAGCATCACAACCTAACAGAGATGGCATCATCTGGTCTACAGTATCAATAATCTTATCACAGATCCACTCCTGTGGTTTCGCATTCAGACTCGTTGAGGGTTCCACTTCATTGTCAACTTCATTCACGTTCACATTTAGCATCACAGCTAATCATTTTTTAATTGGTAGTCTGCAACTCTTTGCCTCAGTTTTAAGCAGAGTCAGATTTTTTTTTGTTTGTTTGAAAATTGTTATATCACCATTAACAAATGCTTTACTAGTTTATCTATTTGGCCAGCAATTGCTTCTGAATAGGCCAGCTTGGGAGGAATTTTCTTGACATTAGTTTTCATTTGTACCTTGACTTTGGAGGTGAACTAATGTCATTTTTAATTTCTTCAGGAGGCATTTTGTCAAAGGATTCCTTTTCAGTTCCTTCATCTTCGTCATCTGCTTCATCTTCATAAGTATCATTTCCTCATATTTCTGTAGCATTCCTGATATTTTTGCATCTATTATTTCTTAGCCTCTTCATGATATCTTGAATCCTATTTTTTCTTTCGAGTCTTTCCAGCAGATGCTCTCTCGAAGGAACACCTGAGCAGTGCATCCCATAGCCACCATAAAACACCCCTTGCGCAACACTGATCCATTTCTCCACCCTTTTTCTGGGAACAGCTCCCCTACGATTCCTCTAGACCTCTCTTTTCCAGTGAAAGCTTAGAAGAAGGAAGTTATTGGGACAAACTATGCCCTTATCACTCAGTTGGTCTAAGGGCTGCAACTGTTACTTATCTTCCTCCTCCTCCACTACCCATTTCATATTCTACTGTTCTTTACCTGTCACCTCCATAGGTCTTAGTGGTTTACCTGGGTGTGACTCAAATCCTCATTCCTGATGAGAATGCCTGTTTATTGGTAATTATACACTTCTCAGGCTGGGATTGCTGTACAAGTCTTTCCACGGTTCCAATTAAGTATTAAGAGACTTCCAAGTGGATCATCTAGGGTCCACATATTTTTTTTCCTGCTCATTATATGAAAGCAGCCCTTCCTCTTCCTGTTGATCTAGGTCAATTACTCCTGCCAAGGCGGAAATCCTTCTTGCCTTCTGGTGCCTGGACACAGTCCAAAGTACCCAAACAGTAGCCATAGCTTGTAGTTCAGTGGGACCCTTGTTGTTGTGTTCCCTGGCAAAAATGCACCTCTTTGAGGACCAGGATTTCTAAACCTGTACAGAGTCTCCTAATGACTCATTGAGATGTTAAGTAAGACCACTTCTGCTCCTACCTCACATATTCTTTCTATTAGAGGAAGTGCCATTCAGAGGTCTCTGATTTAGCATATATACTGCATCTTGAAAGATGGCACTCCATCCTTACAGAATATTGCCTGGCTATTCTGTTGCACTTTTCGTACATTGCCCAGGCTGGCAATATCTGAATAGTCTTCTAGGTGATGCAACCAGTGGATGCCATGGTCATGAGCCCGGACCCACATCATCTTTACTGTGAAGTGGTTCCCCTATTTGGATGCTATGTTGTGTTGGATCCTCTGGCAGTGGATCAAGCTTGATCTTTTTTCTCTTCCCTCAGCTGGTCACATGTGACCCCTATTTGGCCATACAGCCTGAGGGAGAGGTACTGGTACAAACATAGTAGGTGATATGGGGGTCTGGGCTATTAGCTCATGCAGTTTACTCATGCTTTCTGGTCCTACTGGGGTTTGATTTTGAATACATCATTTCTATATTATGATGAACTGCTGCTGGGCCCATCAACTTTATGACTGGGTGTGTCTAATAGAACTCAGCTCAAAATGGGCACTTATGGACACATGGTAACTTGGCACCCCATGGTCAAGCTTTCTGCCTCTACTAGGGCCCAGTACCACGTCAGGGGCTGTTTCTTAAAAGGAGTAAACCCTCTGCTGCAGATGGCACAGCCTTGCTCCAAAATCCCGGAGGCCTATATTGTGCTCTCCTACTGGGACTTGCTGTAAATTCCACACTGACTGCCGCAGAGCCCATCGCTGTTCCAGACTGCACTCAGAACTGGCAACCTTCCATGTTACCCAGGATATGAGCCAGAGTGGTGTCCAAAGGTGTGGAATTTGTGCTTCTAGAACCCAATGTGACTTACCAGGCATCGTGCTTTATGTAGTAGGAGATGCAAGATACAGAAGTTTGTCTTTTACTCTGGAGGGGATGTCTCCACATATCACTGACTACGGGACCTCAAAAAACTTTACAGAAGTAGCAGATCCCTGAACCTTTATAGTGTTTATCTCCCACCCTCTGGATGCATATATCTTGTCAAGGCCTCGAACATATAAGCCATCTCTTGCTCGTCCTACCCATCAGTATATTATTGGTATAACATATCAGTATGATGTTCTGCAGGATGTCCACACAGTCTGGATCTCTTCAGACTGTATTGCAATAGAGGGTAGAAGAGTTAACATAGTCCTTGGATAAAATTGGAAATAAATATTATGTTTTCCACATGAATGCAAACCTCTTGTCCTCATTTCAGATTGTAATATGAAAGAATGCATTTGCCGGCCACATACCATGTGCCTGAGGCCTTATTAATCTGCCCTAGCACTGATGCCATGTCCAGCACAGCTTGAATTGGGACTACTTGGTTAAGCTTGCTATGGTAGTCTACATTTACTCCGCAGGATCCAGAGTGTCACTAAATCGCCATCTTTCCTGTGACACAATATCATTTTTTATTATCTTAGCTGGGTGGGGAACAATTTCAAAGGCTTATGATAGCTCTTACCTAATCACCTGAGGACCCAGTAATTCAACTGCCAAGTGTGTCTATTGCAATTTTATACTCAGGGACCAGAGAAACAACCAGTGAGTTCTCTATAAACCAGACTTTAGCTAGGATCCTTAGCTGCTTCTGTAAGCCCTTGATCTAACGGGGGCATGTTGACACTTGGGATCTCCAGTTATCAAAGTCTACTTAGAACGTAGGTCCAAAACTCCTTGAAATTAATGGGCTTTCCCTTTTTCCCATTGTGAATGTCCTACATAAGTAAATGTCCTGGGTCTCTCTGGGGAATGACTCGAGGAATCATTGCAATATATACTTTTTATAAGTTTTCAGAGCCTTCTCTCCTGCAAAAGAGGGGACTTAGCCACTTCTTTGGTCTGTAGACTCCAGATCTGAAAATAGGCTCAAACTCAGGAACTGAGCAACCTACTGTGACTTTTTGAGATGACTGCCCTTAGCCTCCTTTCCCTCCATTCTTGCTTGCTTCTGATTGTAGATGTTAAGTAGCACCCTTATTAGCTGCCTATCTTACCCCTAAGGTAAGGCGACCAACTTTTCCTAGTTTTTTCTAAGTCTCAAGAGAGATCTTCTTGCTCTCACACTTAGGCTTTAACTGTTTGTATATAGCCCTCATTTTCTCATTCTCTATGCAGAGCATCAATACAGCTTAGTAATAACCAGCCACCTCCACTGTCCTTCTAAGCATTCTTCTCCCTATGTCTTCAAAATATATGAATCATTATTTAGGGAGACACATGGTAACTTGGCACCCCATGGTCAAGCTTTCTGCCTCTACTAGGGCCCAGTACCACGTCAGGGGCTGTTTCTTAAAAGGAGTAAACCCTCTGCTGCAGATGGCACAGCCTTGCTCCAAAATCCCGGAGGCCTATATTGTGCTCTCCTACTGGGACTTGCTGTAAATTCCACACTGACTGCCGCAGAGCCCATCGCTGTTCCAGACTGCACTCAGAACTGGCAACCTTCCATGTTACCCAGGATATGAGCCAGAGTGGTGTCCAAAGGTGTGGAATTTGTGCTTCTAGAACCCAATGTGACTTACCAGGCATCGTGCTTTATGTAGTAGGAGATGCAAGATACAGAAGTTTGTCTTTTACTCTGGAGGGGATGTCTCCACATATCACTGACTACGGGACCTCAAAAAACTTTACAGAAGTAGCAGATCCCTGAACCTTTATAGTGTTTATCTCCCACCCTCTGGATGCATATATCTTGTCAAGGCCTCGAACATATAAGCCATCTCTTGCTCGTCCTACCCATCAGTATATTATTGGTATAACATATCAGTATGATGTTCTGCAGGATGTCCACACAGTCTGGATCTCTTCAGACTGTATTGCAATAGAGGGTAGAAGAGTTAACATAGTCCTTGGATAAAATTGGAAATAAATATTATGTTTTCCACATGAATGCAAACCTCTTGTCCTCATTTCAGATTGTAATATGAAAGAATGCATTTGCCGGCCACATACCATGTGCCTGAGGCCTTATTAATCTGCCCTAGCACTGATGCCATGTCCAGCACAGCTTGAATTGGGACTACTTGGTTAAGCTTGCTATGGTAGTCTACATTTACTCCGCAGGATCCAGAGTGTCACTAAATCGCCATCTTTCCTGTGACACAATATCATTTTTTATTATCTTAGCTGGGTGGGGAACAATTTCAAAGGCTTATGATAGCTCTTACCTAATCACCTGAGGACCCAGTAATTCAACTGCCAAGTGTGTCTATTGCAATTTTATACTCAGGGACCAGAGAAACAACCAGTGAGTTCTCTATAAACCAGACTTTAGCTAGGATCCTTAGCTGCTTCTGTAAGCCCTTGATCTAACGGGGGCATGTTGACACTTGGGATCTCCAGTTATCAAAGTCTACTTAGAACGTAGGTCCAAAACTCCTTGAAATTAATGGGCTTTCCCTTTTTCCCATTGTGAATGTCCTACATAAGTAAATGTCCTGGGTCTCTCTGGGGAATGACTCGAGGAATCATTGCAATATATACTTTTTATAAGGTTTCAGAGCCTTCTCTCCTGCAAAAGAGGGGACTTAGCCACTTCTTTGGTCTGTAGACTCCAGATCTGAAAATAGGCTCAAACTCAGGAACTGAGCAACCTACTGTGACTTTTTGAGATGACTGCCCTTAGCCTCCTTTCCCTCCATTCTTGCTTGCTTCTGATTGTAGATGTTAAGTAGCACCCTTATTAGCTGCCTATCTTACCCCTAAGGTAAGGCGACCAACTTTTCCTAGTTTTTTCTAAGTCTCAAGAGAGATCTTCTTGCTCTCACACTTAGGCTTTAACTGTTTGTATATAGCCCTCATTTTCTCATTCTCTATGCAGAGCATCAATACAGCTTAGTAATAACCAGCCACCTCCACTGTCCTTCTAAGCATTCTTCTCCCTATGTCTTCAAAATATATGAATCATTATTTAAAAAAGATGTTCCACGCTGGGAGAAAATGTAGTTTTATTTGAACTTTACCAGTTCTTTTTACCATTTTGAAAAAGTACATCACTGGCAGCAACACTGACCTGATATTTGAGTCACCAATTCAATATGCTTGTATCTGAATTTGTGCCTAATGTGTGTATACAGACACACACACACACACACACACACACACATACACATACACACACACACATTCAGAAACATACAAAAAATTGTGTGTGTGTATACACACATTAGGCACAAATATACACATACACACAAATATACATATATACACATATACATACGTACCTCTCTAATTTGAAAATGTAAATATAAACAAAATTGCCAAAAGTATTTTTTAAACATTGTTTTCTCTAAAAGCTCAACATTAAGCCTGTGTGATTCTCACACATTGTGGAAATATAAAAGGTATGACTTCTATAGAATTTGGCAATATCTAGCAAAATTAAAAGTTCATTTGCCTTTGACACTGAATCCTACTTCTAGGAATCTATCCCAGAGAAAATATGACAAAATATCAAATTGTGAATATGTAAGAATATTCATTATGGCAATATTTGTAATACAATAAAACTTCTTTAATACAAATGTCCATCAGTGGGGGAATATATTGGAATACAGCTAAAAGAAGTAATAACTCTGTATATTGTTATGAAATGATCCTAGGACATATTGTTTAGTTAAATTTAAAAGCAAGGTACAGAACAGTAGTGTGTAGTATGTTCCTTTTAAGTAAGGAAGGACAAAAAGAACCGAAGGGAAATGTTAGACTTTTTTCAGTTATAATATTTTTATTAATACTGATATTGTTATTTGGAAAAATACTTTTATGTATGTTAGATGAAAAATATACAAATATAAAACTAAAGAAGTAAAATTCCTATAACTTTACATTTAAATTAGGAACATTAGTATGTTCTTAAGATATAATTTACCATGTAGATTATGATCTAAAAGCTATTTCCCAGTAAAAGGAACTGAGAAGTGGCAAAATGTGCCACCCCAAATTATGCCACTTTAGCATAAGGATTATTTTTAGCTAAAGATAAGTAGATATAAGAAAAGCTCTCTGCTCTCCCCCTACTTGCCTAAAAGCAGAACATAAACTTGGAGAGGTGTCCTCCCTCCCCTCTCTACCAGAAAGTATACAAGTTAAGCACTAGAGACAACTCTAGACCTTTATTAGCCAAGAGAAGGCACCAGAGGAATCGACATAAGTCTTTGCTAAAACTAACCCTTATCTACCATTAGTTTCCCTGTCTATTTGCCTTCCCACAATTTGCCAACCCTAGAAGCTCAAAATCCTTTTCCTTTGTCTTGTCACTTCTCTATGAAATTATTGTTCTTTGATAAGATGCTATATAAGTTCAAATTTCAACCACCCTCTCTCAGTTGCACATCACTGAGTACTCCCATGTGGATGTGGAATGCACATGTTGATAAACTTCTATTTGTCTTTCTTTTGTTAATCTGTATTTTGTCAGTCTAAATTTTAAGGGCCCCAGTCAATACACCTAAGATGAGTAGAGGAAAACTTTCTGATACAGAACCAAGGCTCCTTTGAGCAATAGTTGATTCCACAGGTTAAGGGCTCATTCCCACAAGGCTGTGCCCCACCCCCCTCCTCTAGCCACCAATTCCAAGCCTAGTGTATCATCTGTGTTAATGGCTGACAGGCTATGGATTAGAAGGTCCCATGACACCCTCCTAGGGTTCCATTAATTTGCTAGAGCAGCTCACAGAACTCAGAAACATTTCACTTACTAGATGACCAATTTATTATTAAAGGCTATAATGCAGGAACAACCAGTTGGTAAGAGGTGCACAGGGCAAGGTGTAAGAAAAGGGCGTGGAGCTTCCATGCTCTCTCAGAATATGTCACTTTCCCCAAATCTCCACGTGTTCACAAACCTGGAAGCTCTCCAAACCCCATCCATTTGGGTTTTTATGGAAGTTTAATTATATGGCCATAATTAATTAAGTCATTGGCCATTGGTGTCCAGAGGTTCGGTGGGGTGGAAGAACTGAAAGTTCCAACCCTTTAATTGTGTACTTAGTTTCTCTGATGACTAGCCCCCATTCTTAGGTGCTTTCCCAAGGTCACCTCATTAATATCTTTGCTGCTTTCCACATTTAAGAAATTCCAAGGGTTTTAGGAGCTCTGTGCCACAAACGGAACACCAAACATATCTTTCTTATTATAAATCGCAATATCACGATACTATTTTCTCTACTTCAGCATGTATCTGAAATTTT